TTTCTTTTTGTTATTGTTTTTTAAATTTTATTTCTCTCTTCTCTCTGTGGCTTGATTCCTTGTTTATGTGTTTACATTATGGGTTTTTGTTTACCTGGGTTCTGTGCAAATTATACCCTCCAGATAAAATTTTTTTTTGCATTTGTTAGACTACACACCCTCCAATGTAATTAGCCTAGGAGAATTTAAAATTTACTCTCTACTCTGTAGAGATTTCATTTTTTATCATGATAGGCTGGGGCATAGCAGCACCAGGCTGAGGCTAGAACAAGGCTCCTCTTGTTCCTCTACCACCCTCAGGGTATATTATCTTTATCTTCAGAGTGTAGGATGACCTTGTCTTCCTTCCAGCCAGTAGGGTGTGTGTGTGGAAGAGAACTGTACATGCTAGAAATGTATTCCATTAGAATAGAATTATTCTAGTTAGAATATTAGAATATTCTTGAGTACCCCTGAGAGTACTTAGCCTTGTGCTGGTATGCCCCAGGCTGTCATAAAAACTAAATCACTACTCTTATTTCAGGTAAATCTTGACCCTAATAAATCTGGAATAACTTCTAATTAGAATATTATCTAACTAGAATAATTCTATTATTCTGTTAGACACACCAAATTTCAAGGGAAGCTAGGAAATGTATTCTTTGTTCTTAGTTAATGTACCTTCCTTAAAAAAAAAAAAAAAAAAGGTTCTAGCCGGGCACCAGTGGCTCATGCCTGTAATCCTAGCTACTCAGGAGGCTGATATCTGAGGATCGCGGTTCAAAGCCAGCCTAGGCAGGAAAGTCCATGAGACTCTTATCTCCAATAAACCACTAGAAAACTGGAAGTGGCACTGTGGCTCAAGCGGTAGAGCGCTTGCCTTGAGCTGAAGAGCTGAGGTGAGGGACAGCACCCAGGCCCAGAGTTCAAGCCCCACGACTGACCAAAATAAAAAATCCAAGTCCCAATGGAGGCATTTCAGAACTATATCTGGAGTCCCACTCACCTCTGTAATCCTTCCTTGCAGGAATTAAAGAGTTTAGCACATCTCAGCATTGGTAGTAGGTATGCTTACAATCCCCTGGCCGCTGTGTCCAGAACCTAGCATACAAGCTAGGGCTGCCTGGAGCCCAGGAGCTCAGGTCTGGAGAGCCTATATTGTAGAGCCTTGGAGCTCTAATTCTACGATACATTCATTTGGAAAAATACTTGCAATTTGTGTGTGTGTGTTTGCGTGCGTGCGCATGTGTGTGTGCACGCCAGTCCTGGGGCTTAAACTCGGGACCTGCTCAAGGCTAGTGCTCTACCACTTGAGCCACAGCTTCATTTCTGGCTTTTTGGTGATTATCTGGAGATAGTCAATATTTGCTTTTTCCATATGTGTTTATTCTCTTTCTTTCTTTCTTTCTTTTTGTTGTTCATAGGGCTTGAACTCAGGGCCTGGGCGCTGTCCCTCAGCTCTTCAGCTCAAGGATAGCACTCAACCACTTGAGCTACAGCACCACTTCTGGCTTTTTCTGCTTATGTGGTGCTGAGGAATCGAACCTAGGGCCTCATGCATGCAAGGCAAGCACTCTACCACTGAGCCACCTTCCCAGTCTCTCTCTATATTTTTAACTATGTATTTTTTATTATAAAGATACTGTACAGAGGGGTTACAGTTACAGTAAGGAAATGAGCACATTTCCTATTGAGTATTGTTACTCCTTCCTTTGTTTTTCCCCTGGGCATATATTTTATTATCCCAGATGTTTGCTGAAGGATGCTCTTTTCTTTCAAAACAGTAGTGAGTATCGGAGGATAGAAAATACAAACAAATCCACTCAGTTTTCTTTTCTCTGAATTTAGGATTGGTGAGAATTCTTGAGGTTTTGTTGACTTACCATTGGGCTTTTGGAAGGTAAGGGTGAGCATAGGAACTTGGCCCTGCCTCAGTCTCGCCTTCCTTATGTTCACTGCAAGAGGACTTCTATAGCACAGTTTTTTTTTTTTTGTTGTTGTTGTTGTTTTTGGGGTTTTTTTTGGGACTGGTTGTGGGGCCTGAACTCTGGGCCTGGGCGCTGTCTCTCAGCTCTTCAGCTCAAAGCTAGCGCTCTACCACTTGAGCCACAGCACCAGTTCCGGCTTTTTTCTTTTTGCTTATGTGGTGTTGAGGAATCGAACCCAGGGCCTCAGGCATGCAAGGCAAGCGTTGTGCCACTGAGCCACCTTCCCAGCCCTATAGCACAGTTTTAACTCACCATTGTAGCATTTTTTTTCTCTGAAACTGTCTTAAGCCTTAGTCCTTGTTTTTAAATAATCTTTTTTGTGTTTAAATGACTACATAATCTATTTTATTGGTGAATAATTATGCAAGAATAGTGTTTTATTATTTTGAAATTCTGCAAACAAGTAACTTTAAGTCTCATTGCTTATTGCTCTCTCTTCCCCAATCCTGGACTGAAACTAGCAATCTTCCTACCTTAGCCTGTCATGTAGGGCGATTATAGGTGTATACATATAACTGTATCTGACAGCTTTTTCATTTTAAGGTATTATACTAACTTAATTTTTCATCAGACATGAATGAGTATACTAATTTCTTGGTAGCCTCACTAGTCTAGTAGTTGTGGTAGTTTTTTCTTTGTTTGCTTATTATGGTACTGGTGTTTGAACTCGGGAACTTAGTTATTTAGCAGGCACTCTACTACTTGTGAGCCAGCTTCTTCCACAACATGCAGCTTCCTCCCTGCTCCCCTAGCCTGGCTTCTTCCCCCATACCAGTACTCAGGCTTGAACCCATCGCTTCCTACTCTCTATCTTCCTTCCTTCCTGCCTTTCTTTCTTTTCTTTCTTTCTTTCTTTCTTTCCTTTCTTTCCTTCCTTTCTTTCTTTCCTTCCTTTCTTTCTTTCCTTCTTTCTTTTCTTTCTTTCCTTCCTTCTTTCTTTCTTTCCTTCTTTCCTTCTTTTCTTTCTTTCCTTCTTTCTTTCTTTCTTTCCTTCTTTCTTGTCATCGTGGGGCTTGAACTCTGGGCCTGGGTGCTGTCCCTCACCTCTTTAGCTCAAGGCAAGCGCTCTACCACTTGAGCTATAGTGCCACTTCTGGCTTTTTCTGTTTATGTGGTACTGAGGAATCAAACCCAGGGCCTCATGCTTGCAAGCCAAGCACTCTACCACTGAGCCACCTTCCCAGCCCCACTTCTGGCTTTTTTTGTTGATGTGGTACTGAGAAATCAAACCCAGGGCCTCTTGGATGCTAGGCAAGCACTCTACCACCAAGCCACCTTCCCAGCCCTCTATCTTATTTTCTATTGAAGGCTGGCCTTCTACCACTTGAGCCAATTCTCCAGTTCCAGCTTTTTTTTTTCCTGATTAATTGGGGATGAGTTTCTCTGAGGATTTGTGAACCCAGGCTGGCTAAATTCTTGGATCATAACCTCCTGAGTAGATAGGATTATAGGCATGAGCTATAGGCACCTGACTTCTTTTTCTTCAGAGTAAAAAAATAAAATAAAATTGTATGACTCACTCTCTACAGTACTGATAAAAAGTTAGTAGATACCTAGCTTGCCCACTTAATAACTGGCATTCCTTGTGTATGAACTAAGTGATTTCAGAAAATAAAATATCAACTACACATTTTCCTCTTCAAAAAATAAACATTCAAAATTTTCAATGTTAACATTTTATATAGTAATCTGTATTTTGTTGATTTAAATATTCCTTTTTTTACTTTCTACAATTTGATTTTAATTCCTTATTCCTCATTATGGTTCATTCTGGGTGTGTGAAGATGTGCTTTAAGTGGATAATAATTAAGAGCAATTTATCTCAACCTTTCCTGAATGTTTTTGTCATCTTGTTTTAGAAAACTGACTCATTCGTAACAAGCTTTTATGTATAATTATCTATTTAATAATTTTAATGCCTAGTACAGAAAGACTTCATTCTTTTTAAATATTCTTTTATACTTTTATTTGTTTAACTTTTAATCATTTTTGTTTCAAAAAAGCATTCCTATTTAGCACTCGTTAAGCATGAAAAGCTATTAACATTTAATTTAGTTTTCTGTTTTTACAGTTTTCCTGTTCACTTTGATTCTTTTATTGGGTTATCTTTGTAGCAGTCATAATCAGAACTTCTAAGTATTTTGTGTTGGTTTTTTGGGGGTTGGGGTCACTCATGGGCTTGAACTTGGGGCATGGGTACTGTCCCTGGGGTCTTTTTGCTCAAGGCTAGTGCTCTTTGAGCCACAGTGCCACTTCTGGCTTTCTGTTGGTTAATTGGAGATCAGAGTCTCAGACTTTCTTCCTGGGCTGGCTTTGAACCACGATCCTCAGATGTAAGCCTCGTGTGTAGCTAGGATTACAGGTATGAGCCACTTGTACCTGACTTATTATGCTTTCTTCTGAGTTGTAATGGTAAGAATTTAGAGGGGCTGGGAAGGTGGCTCAGTGGTAGAGTGCTTGCCTTGCATGCTTGAGGCCCTGGGTTCGATTCCTCAGCACCACATAAGCAAAAAGAAAAAAAGCCGGAAGTGGCGCTGTGGTTCAAGTAGTAGAGCGCTAGCTTTGAGCTGAAGAGCTGAGGGACAGCATCCAGGCCCAGAGTTCAGGCCCCACGACTGGACCCCCCCCCCAAAAAAAAAAGAATTTAGCAAAGCAAAGTACTTAGTATTATATAAATCATGAAATTTTGCTGAGCTCCCAGTTTGACTTAAAAAAAAAATCTGTAGGTTTTTAGAGCTTTATTTTCCCCTTCCCACTTTCATGTTAGAATTAACTTTTTGGTATTCCTAATGTTATGAACATTGAACATTGTTACTAATGTGTATGAAAAATAGGGTACATGTATATCATTAGAACTGTATCCATATGGATAAAATATTTGTACACCCAGAAGTTCAGCCTTCTAATTAGAACTTTTATATTGGATCATTCACTTTAAAACATGCATTTTAAATGAAATAGGTAGAAGATATTTGCTTTATAATTTTTATCTTCAGGCATTGTTTATATAATTAAGCTACTCTGCTCTTATAGGTTGAGAACCATGAATTTCTTGTAAAACCTTCATTTGATCCTAATCTGACTGAATTAAGAGACGTAATGAATGACTTAGAAAAGAAGATGCAGTCCACATTAATACGTGCAGCCAGAGATCTGGGTAAGAGTGGGTCACTGGAGTTTTGAATAATTCTTTTGTGTGCATAGTAGTCAAGTGGTACCAGAATTATCTTACTAAGTCTCTGTCCTAAAGATGACTCCATATACTTACCAAATAGAAAGTGAGTGGTCCTCAAAATAACAATGGCTGATTTGTTTCAGTCTTTCACTATGGAATTATTATGTTGCTTTGAACATTTTGAGACATTCTGCTATTCAGATTAGTCTTTTTGTTTGTTTGGTTTGTTTGTTTTTGTCAGTTATGGGGCTTAAACTCAGGCCTGGGTGCTATCTGTGAACTGTTTTGCTCAAGGCTAGCACTCTACTACTATGAGCCACAGCTCTACTTCAAGTTTTCTGGTGGTTAATTGGAGACAGGAGTTTCATGGACTTTTCTTTCCTGCTGGGGCTAGCTTTGAACTGCAATCCTCAGATCTCAGACTCCTGAGTAAGATTACAGACATGAACCACTAGCACCCAGTTAGTCTGTTTGTTTGTTTGTTTTTTAATTGCTGCATGGATCTCTTGCTGTTCTTTTCCACCCTGGTCAAATGAGGTCTGACTTTAGTTGTCTGAAACAACTTTCAGTTGCTGTGTTTTAGCAAATAAATTTGTAGGTAGTATTTTTTTCTCAGTGCCTAAGATTGCATTGATGAATGAATTATGATAGGCAATAATTAGAGAATTTCAAAAATCTTAGGGACATAAAATATAGCTGATCATTCATTTTTGCTTTAGGAAATTTTCTCCAGTTAGCGGAAAATGTATCCTAGTTTTCCTGGAGCTTTGTTATTGGCCTCTATGTAGAAATTGCATTTGGTCATTTAATTATATACTTTATATTATATTAACTCCAATTCTTTTTTTTTTTTTTTTTTTTCGGTTGTGGGGCTTGAACTCTGGGCTTGGGCGCTATCCGTCAGCTTTTCAGCTCAAGGTGAGCACTCTACCACTTGAGCCAAGCACCACTTCTGGTTTTCTAATCGTTTCTTGGAGATGAGTCTTACAGACTTTTCCTGCCCAGGCTGGCTTTGAACCGTGATCCTCAGATCTCAGCCTCCTGAGTAGCTAGGATTACAGGCTTGAGCCACTGGTGTCTGCCCAAGAAATGTCTCTGGTTAAGAAAAGAATCCTCATGCAGATCTCCAGAATAGGCCACATCTTAGCCATTTTCTCAAGTTTTCAACATCTGGCACAGTGTGCGCTGCCCAGCACTGATGCTCTGCAGCTTTGAATGGATTTACCCAGAAAGCAGCTTCCATGCTGCTGATTTTATAGCCGTATTTGTTTTCCAGAGAAATAGGATTTAAATATTTTCAGGTTTAGGTAGTATTAATAATTTCCAGTATGTTGTTATGTAATAAAGGTATAGGACTATTTGATTTAATGAATTTAAATATTTCTATTGCAAATGACTAGATATTTGTGGCACACTTAATTCTTTTCTCCTGATCATGAAGGATTGGACCCTGGCAAACAGATTAAATTGGATTCCAATGCACAGTTTGGATATTATTTTCGTGTAACCTGCAAGGAAGAAAAAGTCCTTCGTAACAATAAAAACTTTACTACAGTAGATATCCAGAAGAATGGTGTTAAATTTACCAACAGGTTTGCAAAGTCTTTTGATATTGTTAAGAAGCCTTTGATAGTTGCATGGACTCTTTGATAAGATGTGAATGTTGTGTAATGACGAGGCCTTACCTTATTGTTCATCGATATGAGGCAGTAAGTGAGGGCCAAGCTTTATTTTCTTCCAAGAGGTTAGTCAGGTATCCCAACACAATTTGTTATTAATTTCTTCCCCATTGAAGTGGTATTTCGAGATTCCTTAAGACATCTTGTCTTCTTTTAGAGCTTTCTACTCTATTGCATTGTTTTGTTTTTGTGGGACCCAAGGCTTGAACTCAAAGCATGGGCACTGTCACTGAGCCTTTTTGTGCTCAGGGCTAGCACTCTTATCACTTTTGCCACTGTGCCACTTCCAGATTTTTGGAGGCACTTTTTGGAGGAAATTTTCTACCCATGCTTTGCTTCAAACCACAATCCTTAGATCTCACCCTCCTGAGTAGCTAGGATTATAGGCAGGAGCCACCTGTGTCCAGCTTCTGTTCAGTGTTTTTTAGTTTTTTTTTTTTTGGTCCAGTCGTGGGGCCTGAACTCTGGGCCTGGGCGCTGTCCCTCAGCTCTTCAGCTCAAGTCTAGCACTCTACTACTTGAGCCACAGCGCCACTTCCGGCTTTTTTCTTTTTGCTTATGTGATGCTGGAGAAATCGAACCCAGGGCCTCAGGCATGCAAGGCAAGTGCTCTACCACTGAGCCACCTTCCCAGCCCCTGTTCAGTGTTTTTATAGGTAGTATTATTTTGTGCTGCTGCTGTGCTATGGACTGAGTTCCTAATTATTGTCTTGCTTAACTGGATAGCATACTTGAGATACTTAATTACTTAATTTTCTTAAGTATCTCTTTATCTTAAATATCTTCTTTATCCATTCTTTGTGTTCCTCTATTTTAATTCCCTTCCTTTGCTGCTGTGGATATTTTTTCATTCTATTTTGGTCTTTCTTAAAAAGATTTTTGAACTTATTTTGGAGGGGGTTGTATTGGGCTTTGAACTCCAGGACTTTGCATTTGCTAGGATGGCACTTACCATTTGAGTCATGCCTCCAGCCCTACTTTTTGCTGGTTTATTAGAGATAGAGCTGTACTTTTCTTCCCTGGCTGACTTTGATCTAAAATATTCCTGATCTTACCTTCTAATTAGCTATGATTACAAGTGTGAAGTACTGGTACCTGGTTAAGGAACGTTTTTGGGGGGAGGAGGATGCCCCCATAAGGCTTAAACTAATTAGAGCCTAGTTTCTTAGCCTTTTTTGCTTATGGCTGGTGTTTATCACTTTATCCACAGCTTCACTTTCAGGTTAATTAAGAAAAGTCTTACAGACTTTCCTGTCTTGGCCAGCTTTGAAATGTGATCTTCAGATCTCATCCTCCTAAGTAGCTAGGATTCAGGTGTAAGGCATTGCCTTAAATGTAATTTTTATTTTCTCTTGAAATAATTCAACAAGATTTAGTTTTGAAAATATTTTCTCTACTTTTAAAACTGTGTATAAAAGATGATTGTATATATGTTTTATGTATAAAAGACACTGCAATAATAAGAAAAACCCAAGTGTTAGAGTGGAGGGAAGGGCCTCCATTCTAAATAAAGATTCCATTGTAATAAATTATAAAAGGCCACAGATCAGAATTTTGGCTGCAAATGATTTTTTATGCACTGGAAGATGCAGTTCGTTTGTAATTTTTCTTTTGGGCTGTACTGAGGTTTGACCTTAGGGCTTGCATTTGCTAGGCCCGTGCTCTTCTGCTTGAGTCACACCTCCAGCTACAGATCAGAATTTAACCAAGTTGAATAGTTATTCCATCAAGAATTGTGACAGCATTGTTCTTCCAGACAATATAAAAGAATGTTATACTGAATTATAGCTGTATCAATACCTCACAAGTTGCTTGTTTTTCTGCTTGTATTTCCATATTAATTATTGTTGTTACAATGTTACATAGAAAATGTGTTTTGTGTAATGCATTTTATTGACATAGTAATGTATTAATATTTTTAATAATCACATTTTATTTTGCAGTGAACTGTCTTCTTTAAATGAAGAATATACTAAAAGTAAAACAGAGTATGAAGAGGCCCAGAATGCCATTGTAAAAGAAATTGTCAATATTTCTTCAGGTAAACTTAATAGAACCAGTATATTAAATGTTCTGAATATGTTTGTTTTTGCTAAAACAAAACAAAAAAAAACCAGATGGTAAACACAGTGTTTATTCTTGTTTCTGTTTTGCAGCAAGGTCTCATTGTGTTGTACAGGCTAGTCTTAAACTTGTGAATCCAAGTGATTGTCATGCCCAGTTTCCTGAAATAAATGTGCACACCACTACTGTGTGTAGTTTTTTTAAGTCATTCATTGTGGGTTCATAACATTTGTAGAAATAATATCACTGAAAAGCAAGTATCAGGGGCTGGGAAGGTGGCTCAGTGGTAGAGCGCTTGCCTTGCATGCCTGAGGCCTTGGGATCGATTCCTCAACACCACATAAGCAAAAAGAAAAAAGCCGGAAGTGGCGCTGTGGCTCAAGTGGTAGAGTGCTAGCCTTGAACTGAAGAGCTGAGGGGCAGCGCCCAGGCCCAGAGTTCAGGCCCCACGACCGGACCAAAAAAAAAATAATAATAATAAAAAGCAAGTATCAGAGGCAAACTATTTCAAATTCTGTGAACCACATTATAGCAGATCCACAGATGGTGATGATTTTTCTTTTAATAATTAAAAGGACAGTAGGAATTGGCACTATGTTACTGCTTTAGTTGGAGATGACTGTATGTCTCAAGTAAGGGATGATTGTGTGTTAGGCTGAACAGTTTAGACTATCACCATGCATATATTGATTGCATACTTTATTGTGTGATTCAGAATGTCCACGTAATCAAAGTCAGTAGCATCATCTATCATGGGATAGATGAGATTCTGCGCAATATGGCCTATGTAGGTTTTTCATTGTTTTTTTTTTTAAGACATAATTTTGCTATGTAGCCTGGACTGGCTGGAATTTGGAACCTTCTGTTTCACCCAAGTGCTGGGATTAGATATATGCCACTGTGCTCTTCCTGCCAAAAATATATTTCAGCTCACTGTAAACATGAAGAAAAGTAGATTGTGGGACATTGTTTTGTAAGCTCTGCATTCTTCCAAGAATTTTTTTTTTTTGGTGTTGGTCCTGGGGCTTGAACTCAGGGCCTGGGCACTGTCCCTAAGCTTTTTGCTGAAGGCTTGTGCTTTACCACTTGAGCCACAGCTTCACTTCTGGTTTTTGGTGATTAATTGGATAAGAGTCTCATCATGTCTTGCCTGGGCTGGCTTTGAACCACAGTCCTCAAGATCACAACCTCCTGTGTAGCTAGGATTGCAGGTTTTAGCCACCCGCACCAGGCAAGCTGCGCATTATTTAAATATGTTTCTGTAGCTGAGTACCTAATCCTTAGTTTCTTAAAAGACTGAAATCCAGAGGTTCAAAATTTGTGTCCATCCTGGGCAGAAAAGTCCTTGAGAGTTCATCTGCAAAATAATCAGTAAAACCCAGGTGCTGGTTGGTGGCTTTTGCTTGTAATCCTAGCTACTTAGAAGGCTGAGATATAAGGATTAGTTTGAAGCCAGCCCCACAAGAAAAATCTGTGAGACTCTTATCTCCAATGGTGAGTTAAGGCTAATCAGAACTGTAAAGTAACTTCAAAACCGGCTTAAACTACATAGTTTCCTTTCTTTCTAGAGGACTGCCTCCATAAATTGCTATGTTACCCAGGCTGGACTCAAACTCACAGTCCTTGTGCACACATGGTTGTATGCTACCATACCTCAATATTACAATTTTCTATTTTAGTTTAACCTGAAAAAGTGGTACTGTTAGTACATCACCTGGTATGAGATGCTAAAGACTGTGTAGGCTCTCAATTAAAATGTACTTAAAAAAATTATAGGGCTGGGAATATAGCTTAATGGTAGAGTGCTTGTTTAAAATGCATGAAACCCTGGCTTCCATTTGTCTGGACCACATAAACAGAAAAGGTTGGAAGTGATGTTGTGGCTCAAGTGGTAGATTGCTAGCCTTGAGCAAAAGAAGCTCAGGGACAGTGCCCAGGCCCTGAGACCAAGCCCCAGTACTGGAAGAATAAATAAATAATATACACACACATAATAATAAATATATGCCTATTCTTGATATATTAGGAATCTAGTGTTTTGGGTTGTTTTTTTTTTTTTTTGTCAGTTCTAGAGCTTGAACTCTGAGCCTGGGTACTGTCCCTGAGCTCTTCAGCTGAAGGTGAGCACTCTACCTCTTGAGCCACAGAGCCACTTCTGGTTTTCTCGTGGTTAATTGGAGGTAAGAATTTCACGGACTTTCCTGCCTGGGCTGGCTTTGAACTATGATCCTCACATTTCAGCCTCCTGAGGTAGTAGGATTAACCAGTGTGAGCCACTGGCGCCTAGCTAAGAATTGAGTTTTAAAGCAGTTATAAGGGTTAAAGTAATATGAGTGCTGTGGTGTTTATTTAGCGTGTGAAAAACCCTAAGTTTTATTACCTAGCACATTTAGTCAATGTACTTTGGAATAAATAACAGTAACTTCTTCATTAATGTTTAATTCCTAAACATTCCTATTGCTTTATTACAAAGTGATGTGAACTCTTCCTTTCCTTTGTATTTTTTAATTTTAATTTTTGCCGGTCATGGGGCCTGAACTCTGGGCCTGGGCACTTGTCCCTCAGCCCTTCAGTTCAAGGCTAGTGCTCTACCACTTGAGCCACAGCACCACTTCCAGGTTTTTCTGCTTATGTGGTGCTGAAGAATCGAACCCAGGGCCTCATGCATGCAAGGCAAGCACTCTACCACTGAGCCACCTTCCCAGCCCTCTTCCTTTCCTTTCTTTTTTTTTAAATGTTAGGTTAAAAAAAGGAATTTTTTTTCTTTCTTTTTTTTTTTTTGTCAGTCGTGGGGCCTGAACTCTGGGCCTGTGCGCTGTCCCTCAGCTCTTCAGCTGTAGACTAGCGCTCTACCACTTGAGCCTGAGCCCCACTTCTGGCTTTCTCTGCTTATGTGGTGCTGAGGAATCGAACCCTGGGCCTCATGCATGCAAGGCAAGCACTCTACCACTGAGCCACCTTCCCAGCCCCAGGAATACATTTTTAAAATTATGGTAAAGCGGTGTGCTTAGCTAGGTATATATAAATTAATGTTTATTATACAAACATCAGTTTTATTGGGAACAAGGGAAATCAATGCTGTATCAAATTCCAGCCATTTGATTAAAAACATAATTTTGTATTTTTCTAAAGTTGAACACTTTCCTTTGAATGTCTGTGAAGCATTTGACATGATTGATGTTCATCTGACAGTCTGTAGGACATGAGAGTCTATTTTGCAAACCACTTTTAACTTGTTAATATGTAGAGTCCAGTGCCGGTAGCTCACACCTCTAATCCCAGCTACTCAGGAGATTGGTTGGAAGCCCTAGCAAGAAAGTCCTTGAGAGTCTTATCTCCAATTAATCACAGAAAAAGCAGAAAGTGGTGCTGTAGCTCTAGTGGTAGAGTACTAGCCTTGAGCAAAGAGAGCTTAAGGACAGTGCCCCAGGCCCAGCAAAAACAAAAACATGTAGAATCCAACATTGAGACTGTCTTCACATACATTTTAGCTTGTGTCAGGGACCTGTTTTTTGTTTTTGTTTTTGTCTTTTTAGTGCTGGTCCTGGGGCTTGAACTCGGTTTTGGATACTGTTTCTGAGCTTAGTTTTTTTTTTGTTGTTTTGTTTTGTTTTCCTCAAGGCTAGTACTCTACTACTTGAGCCATAGCTCCTCTTCTTTCTTTATTGATGTTTAATGGGAGATTAAGAGTCTCATGGACTTTCCTCCTGAGTACCTAACTTACAGATATGAGCCACTGGCACCCAGTGGTATCAAGAACTTTTTAATGTATCCAATAACTTTTAGCTTTAATGGTGTAGCAGAATTGAATCATGAAAATGTTTTAAGTGGCAATTAAGCGTTCAAATTTATGTTAGAATTCTGTGTATGTGGTACTGACTGGGAAAAAAAAACCTTAGCTAACAATATTGTAGTCAGTTTATGCATACACAAACCTGACAGTCTCATTATAACTTGCCATCAATGCTCACATATTTCTTAGGGTATTGGGAGGTATCATCCTGTTTCCTAAATTCCTACAATGTAGGGTGTGTCTTAAAATTGAGGTGTTATTTTATTGGATTTTAGATAGGGAAAGAATCATACCATTTACAGGGTGGAAGGATATAGTAAAACTTTCAACCCGTGTTACATTTTAAGTGTTCAAGTTTTATTATAGCAAATTCGTGTTCATTTTTAAATTGTGAGTTGCTGGGTGCCTATAATTGTGGATACTGATAAGGCTGAAATCTGAGGATTGAAGTTCAAAGCCAGCCTGGCTTATCTTCAGTTAACCACACACCAAAAAAAAAAAAAAAAAAGCTGGAAGCAAGCTAGGTGCTAATGGCTTGTGCTAATCCTAACTATTCAGGACTCTGAGATCTGGAGGTCATGGTTTGAAGCCGGCCTGGGCAAGAAAGTCCATGAAACTTGTCTCTAGTTAACCACTAGAAAACCAAAAGTGGAGCTTTGTTTCAAAGTTGATAAAGCATTAGCCTTGGAAAAAAAGCTCAGGGACAGTGCTTAGGCCCTGAGCTCAAGCCCCAGTACTAACTGACTCCCCCCCTTAACCCCCTCCAAAAAAAAAGCTGGAATCTGAGGTATGACTCAAGTGGTAGAGTGCCAGCTAAGTGACAGTGCCAGGCCACAACTTCAATCCCCAGTACTGGCTCTAAATAAATAAATAAAGATGCGTAACTTAAGAAATTGGAAGATTGAGTTTTTCCTTACAGTTTCTACTTGTTCCTACTTTTTTGTGTACATTTCCTGTTTTTATTCTTACACAGGTTATATAGAACCAATGCAGACACTCAATGATGTGCTAGCTCAGTTAGACGCTGTTGTCAGCTTTGCTCATGTTTCAAACGGAGCACCTGTTCCCTATGTTCGACCAGATATTTTGGAGAAAGGAGAAGGAAGAATTGTATTGAAAGCATCCAGACATGCTTGTGTTGAAGTTCAAGATGAAGTTGCATTTATTCCTAATGATGTACGCTTTGATAAGGAAAAACAGACGTTCCACATCATTACTGGTAAAAACAAAAAACAAACAAACATAGAGAGACCTTTTTTCCTTTTCCTTTCCCTTTTAAAAAAAAATTGAAATAAGAATGTATTTTAAATTGATGAAGAAGGTCTCAGGCCTTGACATTAGAAAATGGATGTATTATTCATTCTGTTTGGTAATATATTCACATTTGGCTTAGGGAGATTTGGAAGGGGAGATTATGCTTAAAGAGGTCTAGTAGAGTTCTACCTGAACCTTTTATTCCTGGGGTTCAGAGCATTTAGAAAGAAAAAAAATGCTTTATGCTCAAAGCTTACTAAAGGTAGTACTTTAGGTAGTGAGATCATTGAAGGCCAAGCAGAACCTGTCAGAAGAACCTCAGCTTAAGGTAACAATTCTTTTAAGACTGTATTCTTCATGTGAGAAAAAACAAGTAGCCTTATAACATATCTTGGTAGTTTGAGAGGTCTTAACAGATTCTCAAGAACAAAAAGAATGTATCTTAGGACAAATACAGTTGGGAAATATTAAGATTATATTCTATTTCCTCAAATTGGTATCTAAGTTATTTAGGTTATTCCTAAGGAATAAATTGTTATATTTGCCAAAAGAAGAGACATGTCTTAGTCTTTAGGGTGGGTTTGAAGTGATTTGAGAATTTTCCCATATTGGCACTGGTTTATTTATTAGTGAGTCATAGAATAGATTTAAGTAGTTAGGTCTATATGACTTTTCTGGAAATTATTGGATTAACTTGAAGGCATTTTTGACCCATGAGAATATATGTATGATCTAAGCCAACCAAATTACAGATGGAGTTTTTTTTTTTCAGAAAAAATAATTAAGAATTGATTAGAGAGAGAGTAGCATGGACAGTACTTTGCTTGTCTATCTTTGCATGTCTTCTAGTTCTGCTTCTACTCATTGTGTTGTTATTGTGATTTAGGTGATTAATTACTGGTACACAGTTCAAGACTACAGTGTACATACTAGTAGCAGAAAGAAATTAATCATCTTGTTTATTGATAAAATTTGTTTTATAGGACCCAATATGGGAGGTAAATCAACATATATCCGCCAAACCGGGGTAATAGTACTCATGGCCCAAATTGGGTGTTTCGTGCCATGTGAATCAGCAAAAATATCCATTGTAGATTGCATCTTGGCTCGAGTTGGGGCTGGTGACAGTCAGTTGAAAGGAGTCTCCACGTTTATGGCTGAAATGCTAGAAACGGCTTCTATCCTCAGGTAAGTTTTTGTCCCATTTCTCTGAAAATTGAAATGGAATGTCCCCATCTCATGAGCAGTATGGTAGCAGAGTCCTCCATAAAACACTTAATGGACATTTATTACAGGCATACTCTTGGTAGAGATCTGAGGATCATGGAAATGAAGCTAGCTTGAAATGTCTATGAGATTGTTGTCTCCCGTTAACCACCAAAATGCCTTAAATGGATGTGTGGCTCAAGTGGTACAGTGTTGGACTTGAGTGAAAAGTCAAGCTAGAGTGCAAGACCCTTATTTCATGCCCCAGTACCAGCACACTCACACAAAATTTTCCTGTGAATTTAACGCAGTTGTTTTTTTTAAATTTTTTATTGTAAAGATACTATACAGAGGGTTACAGTCACATGAGCAAGGTAATGAGTATACTTCCCATTGAGCATTGTTACCCCCTCCATTGTTTTCCCCCTACCATCCCTTCCCTCCCTACTTTCCCCAAGGTTCTTTTTTTTTAATTGTTATTAAGTGATTACATAATTTCCCAAATTTTACAGTATTGTGGAATAATGATGCTCATTTAAAGTCACAAGTTCATTCTAACTTTCCTGGAGCAAATTGTCTATCACATTCTATAACATATAACAGTGTACACATATACACCATACATGTGATCAGCAGCATGGGCATATTTAGTAGTGGTTCGACCAGATGAATGGGAGTTCTTTGTTTCTTAAGTCCTGTTAATTTTGTCGTATCACCTAACATTTTGGATTTAGCATCCACTTATCAGGGAGACCATGTACCGTTTGTCTCTTTGCTCTTGGCTTACCTCGCTCAACATGATTTCTTCTAGCTCCATCCATTTCCCTGCAAATGCCATTATTTTGTCATTTCTAATGGCTGCATAATATTCCATTGTGTATAGATACCACAATTTTTGGATCCATTCATCTGTGGTGGGACATCTGGGTTGTTTCCATATCCTAGCTATTGTGAACAGTGCTGCAATAAACATGGAGGTGCACGTGTCCTTGTATATTGGTTCCTGTTGTTCAGGGTAGATGCCTAGAAGTGGTATGACTCGGTCGTAAGGGAGGTCAATCTTTAGCTTTCTCAGGACCCTCCAGACTGCTTTCCAAAGTGGTTGTATAAGTGTACATTCCCACCAGCAGTGTAATAGGGTTCCTCGTTCTCCACATCCCCTCCAGCATTTGTCGTTGGCTGATTTGTGGATGTGGGACATTCTGACTGGGGTAAGGTGGTATCTCAGGGTTGTCTTTATTTGCATTTCCTTCACCACCAGGGATGATGAACATTTCCTCATGTGTTTCTTTGCCATTTTTATTTCTTCATTTGAGAAGTCCCTCTTTAGTTCCCTTGCCCATTTAGTAATTGGTTTGTTCGGTTTGGGAGGGATTAGTTTCTTGAGTTCCCTGTATATACAGGATGTTAACCCCTTGTCTGATATATTGCTGGTAAATATTTTTTCCCAATTAGTTGGTTGTCTTTCTAGCTTGGTTAAAATAGCTTTATCTGTGCAGAAGCTTCTTATTTTAAGGTAGTCCCATTTGTCGAGTCTCTCTTCAACTTGTTGTGACCCTGGGACTCTGTTCAGGAAGTTCCTTCCTGTGCGTATTAGTTCAAGTGTCTCTCCTACTCTGTCCTGCAGTAGTTTCAGAGATTCAGGTTTAATTTAACACAGTTTTTAAATTTTGATAATAATGGAATTTGAACTCAGGGCCTTACCCTTGCTAGGTAAGCATTTTGCTACTTGAGGTATATCTCTAGCCCTTTTGGCTTTAGTTTGCCAGGCAGATCTCATGCTTCTGCCTTGGGCTGGTGCCTCTAATGGTGATCTTTTTGCCATACAGATTGGGATTGTACCACTACACCTGGCTTGGTTTTTGAGATAGGGTTATATTAACTTTTTTACTTGAGCTGGCCTCACCTTACAATCCCCCAATATTGCACTTTATCTTATCTTAAAATGGTGATTGGAGCTGGGACACCTGTAGACCTAATTACATAGGAGGCTGAGTAGGGCATCACTTAAATGCAGGAGTTTGAGATCAGCTTTTGTAACATAGTGAGAATCAAGTTAGAACAGGAGGGAGATGTAGGACTGACAATATTTGTGGACAGACAGCTCATTATTAAAGTTTCACACAGTTTCTGGCAGTAGCACATGTTTTTGCTTCCATTGTTTACATTGCCTAGAATCATCCTTCTTGCTCTTTGTCTAATCTTTAAATCCCTAAAGACAAAAATTCTACCTTTCTGCTGATTTTTCTGGTTGTATGAGTATAAGAGTCATAGATATGCTGGGTGCTGGTGGCTCATGCCTATAATCCTAGCTACTAAGGAGGCTGAGATCTGAGGATCATGGAAAATCTGTGAGACTCATTTTCAGTTAACCACCAGAAATCCAGAAGTGGTGCTGTGGCTCAAGTGGTAGAGCACTTGCCTTGAGCTAAAGAGTTCAGAGGCAGCTCCCAGGTCCAGAGTTCAAGGCCCATGACTGACAAAAAAGAAAAAAGTCATAGGTACTTGTCTGAACTACTCTTTGAGATGACTGTAACATACTGGAGGCCTTTATTGTACTTTTAGGGGTTTCCTTGACCTCAGGGTCTTTGCTTTCTTGGTATCTTTTATTTATTTTTTTTTTTATTTTTTGGGTCCGGTTGTGGGGCCTGAACTCTGGGCCTGGGTGCTGTCCCTCAGTCTTCAGCTCAAGGCTAGTGCTCTACCACTTGAGCCACAGAGCCACTTCCGGCTTTTTTTCTTTTTTTTTTTTTTTTGCTTATGTGGTACTGAGGAATCGAACCCAGGGCCTCATGCATGCAAGGCAAGCGCTCTACCACTGAGCCACCTTCCCAGCCCTCTTGGTATCTTTTAAAGTACTTATTGTAGCTCCTTGGTAAGATACTATGTGGATTTGACTTCTGAGAGGTTTTGTTAAAATTCTTAAAATCTATAAAATTTTGGTGGGTATAATGAGACAGTAGCTTAATATCTAAAACTTAAAATTGGAGAAATTAGTTGACAATTCACAGAGAAAGAAATAACAAATGACCACATGAAAGGCTGTTGAATTCACTAATGAAAAAATTAGCCTGGCCAGGTACCAGTGTCTCACGCCTGTAATCCTAGCTACTTAGGAGGCTGAGATTTGAGGGTCGCAGTTCAAAGCCAGCCCAGACAGAAAAGTCCCCATGAAACGCCGTTTTTCTTCTCTCTCTCTCTTTTTTCTCTCTCTCTTTTTCTCTCTCTTTCTCTCTGTCTTTCTCTCTTTCTCTCTCTCTGTCGTCCGTCTATCTGTCTGTCTGTCTGTTGTGGGCTTGAACTCTGGGTCTGGGCACTGTCCCTGAGCTCTTCAGCTCACTGTGAGCACTCTGCCACTTGAGCCATAGCACAACTTCTGATTTTCTAGTGGTTAATTGGAGATAAAAACGTCATGAACTTTCCTGCCTGAGCTGGCTTTGAACCATTATCCTCAGATCTCAGCCTCCTAAGTAGCTAGGATTACAGGCATAAGCCACCGGTGCCTGGCCCCATGAGACTCTTTTTGTTGTTGTTGTTGGTTCTGGGGCCTGAACTCTGGGCCTGGACACTGTCTCTCAGCAATTCAGCTCAAGGCTAGCACTCTATCACTGAGCCATAGCCCCACTTCTGGCTTTTTCTGCTTATGTGGTGCTGAGGAATTGAACTAAGGAACTCATGCATGCAAGGCAAGCACTCTACCACTGAGCCACCTTCCCAGCCCCCTCATGAGACTCTTAATCTCCATTTTACTGCTAAAAATCTGGAAGTATCTCTAGTGGTGGCCTTGAGCACAAGGAGGCTCAGGGGTAGGCACCCAGGCCCTGAGTTTGAACCCCACAACTGATACATTAAAAAAAAAAATTAGCCCAGCTCCAGTGGCTCATGACTGTAATCCTAGTTACTCAGGAGGCTGAGAGCTGTGGATCATGGTTCAAAGCCAGCCTGGGCATAAAAGTCCGTGAGCCTCATCTCCAATTAGCCACCAGAAAACTAAAAGTGGAGGTGTGGCTCAAAAGAGCTCAGAGACAGCGTCCAGGCCCTGAGTTCAAGCCCCATGACCAACAACAAAGGAAAAAAAAAACCCTCAAACAATTCCTCTTATATTCAGTTACAGATAGAAGAGTGGTAATATCTGGTTATTGATGGTGCTGTGGGAGACATCAATTGACTTTATCACTAACCATGTATATGTGTGTATGTCTATGCTATCACACCCTGTATCATTGTTTTTTTGTTGTTCTTGTTTTGACTTTTTTTTCTTTCTTTTGTGCTGGTCCTGGGCCTTGAACTTAGAGCCTAGGAGCTGTCCTTGAACTTGTTTGCTTAGGACTACCACTCTACCCCTTGTACCATAGCTCCACTTAAAAATTTCTTAACATCTAATCCTTCTGAGTAATTAAGATTACTGGTGTGAACCACTCAGCTTTTTTTTAACAGTTTTAATCTTGACTGACTGGTATAAAAATGAGTGACAGCTACTTTATTTGGAATTTTTTTGGGGTGGGGGGGTCAGATGTAGAGCTTGAACTCAGGGCCTGGGCTTTGTCTCTGAGGTCTTTTGCTCAAGGCTAATGTTCTACCACAACCCCACTTCTGGCTTTCTGATGGTTAATTGGAGATAAGAGTCTCATGGACTTTGCTGTCTGGACTTACTTTGAACTGCAGTCTTTAGCTCTCAGCTTCTGAGTAGCTAGGATTACAGATATAGCCACCAGCACCCAGCTGGAAATTCACTTTAATGAATGTTATTGTGTGTTTTAGGTCTGCAACCAAAGATTCTTTAATTATCATAGATGAATTGGGAAGAGGAACCTCTACTTATGATGGGTTTGGCTTGGCCTGGGCTATATCAGAGTACATTGCAACAAAGATTGGTGCTTTTTGCATGTTTGCAACCCATTTTCATGAACTTACTGCACTGGCCAGTCAGATACCAACTGTGAATAATCTACATGTGACAGCATTAACCACTGAAGAGAATTTAACAATGCTTTATCAGGTCAAGAAAGGTGAGTGTATAGCACTAGTATATAAATCCAGAAAGTGATCATGGGAAACTAACTGCAATTGAAATATAATGCCTTATTTCTTCTGAGTTACTATCAGACATTGTTGTTTTTGATAGACCACATGTATTCTGACTTCTCTGAGTAGGGACAAGAGTATTGGATATTATATTTGTGTCTTATATTAGAACTACTCTTGGAAAGAAAGATATACTTACCTTCATGTTTCTTGTGAGATTAGCTTTTAGGAAATAACAGTATGCTTTGAATTCCAGTTCTAAATATATTTTATTTATTTCTATTTTGTCGGTCGTGAGGGGGCTGAACTCTGGGCCTGGGCACTGTCCCTCAGCTCTTCAGCTCAAGGCTAGCACCCTACCATTGGAGCCACAGCGCCACTTCTGGCTTTTTCTGCTTATGTGGTGCTGAGGAATTGAACCCAGAGCCTCATGCATGCGAGGCAAGCATTGTACCACTGAGCCAACTTACTAGCCCTAAATATATTTTAATAAAATGTATTTTGTAGCTGGGCATGGTGGCACACATCTGTAACTCCAGGCTGCTGTCAGGGTATTTAGAGCATGAAGCTACATAATGAAACACTGTCTCAAAAAACATTGTAATTATCCGTTTATGTTTTAACTGTTGTGTTAAAGAAACAGGTTCATAAACAGGCACCTGTAGCTCATACCTTTAATCCTATCTACTCAGGAGGCTGAGATCTGAGGATCGTGATTCAAAGCTAGCCCGAGCAGGGAAGTCCAAGACACTTTTATCTCCAATTAACCACTTAAAAGTGGCGCTGTAGTTCAAGTGATAAAGCACTTGCCTTGAGCTGAAGAGTGCAGAGACAGCGCCTAGGCCCAGAGTTCAAGCCCCACAACTGACCAAAAAAAAAGAGAGAGAAACAGGTTCATTGAAACCTATTAGCTCTATATATTATTAGTAATTACCTATATTAGGTATAGGTATAGTTGGTATATCATTCTTTTGGAAAAGCTTGTTGGTTGTGGGTTGGGCATTTATGGAGTTGTAAGATTAACATACTTTGAGATTTTATGAATTTTCTTTTTTTATACTATATGGATTGATTTTACCAGTCAATCTGTTTCTAGATTTCTCATTTCCTATGAACACATTTATCTGTGTCATCTGGCAGATCTTAATTCTTTTATCTTGTTATTATACTTCAAGGGAGTTACTGTGCTTTCATTATGGTTATAGAATACAGATATTTATAGTGGTTCTGGCATTTAGCATCATGGCTTTGTAGTTTTTAGGCTTATTTTGCTCACATTTGGTATTCTACCTCTTTAGCTATGCTTATAGCATATCTTTTTGCTGGTTAGTTTTAGATAAGGGTCTCATAGGCTTGCTTTTCTGTCTTGGTTGGCTTGGAGCTCAGCCTCCTGAGTAGTTAGGATTACAGGCATGAGCCACCAGTGTCTGACACTCTCTCTCTCACACACACACACACACACACACACTCTCTCTCTCTCTCTCTCCCTCTCTGACTCTTTCTCTTTCTCTCTCTCTCACACACACATACATACATCATACATACATTTTGGCGCCAGTTCTGAGTCTTGAACTCAGGGCCTGGGTGCTGTCCCAGAGATTTTGTTTGAGTCTAGAGCTATACACTTGAACCACAGCTTTTTGGTGGTTAATTGGAGATAAAAGTCTCATTACATTACTACCTGGGCTGGTTTTGAACTGGGAACCTCAGCCTTCTAGTAGCTAGAATTTCAGGCTTGAGTCACCAGCATCCAGTTAGCTTCATATAAAGTCCAGATGAAGTATGGAAAAGATAGAAATAAATTCAGCCTTCTCTCTGGATGTATATTAGATATTTGCTTCTACTTTATTTTTGTTGGTCTCTCTTAGTTATGTAATATATTCAGAATAAATGTGATAAATAACTAGGCTAATATTTTTTGTATTTGCCAGTTCCAGGGTTTGAATACAGAGCCCCACACTTGCTCACTTGGAAGCCATACATCCAGCCTGGCTTTTTGCTAGTTGTTTTGGAAATGGAGTCTAGTGGACTTTTTCTGCTTGGACTGGTTTTAAACCTTGATCATCCAGATCTTAGTCTCCTGAGTAGCAAGAATTACAGGCATGAGTCACTGGCACCAAAATCCAATTTTTATCTCTCTGTATCTGTCTCTCTGTCTCTCTCATTTTAAAATTATTTAGTCTTGAGATTTAACTCAAGGGGCAGAGTATTTACCCACCATGTACCAGTTCCCAAAGGGGAAAATTATTCTATAGAGCAGTAGTTTTCCAGTAAAATTGTGTATTTACTTAGGTTAAGGTAGTAACAAAGAAATAAAGATGAACTAATTCCTACCTTTCAGAATATAGTTGGGCAGATAAAGACAAGCCATTTAGTTTATAAATTTACATATTAATTTGATTCTAAAATTCAGTTGTCATTTACTAGCAGTAGTTCAGATGTAGGATGAGATTATATATAAGAATGATAAATGGGGGGCGGGGAGGATTGGGGGGGCGGGGGGAGGATGGGAAAGGGAAACAAAGGAGGAGGCTACAATGCTTGATAAAAAATGTACTCATTATCTTGCCCATGTAATTGTAACCCCTCTGTACAGTATTTTCACAATAAAAAATAAATAAAAATTTTAAAAAAGAGTGATAAATAACTTCCTAGACAAATATGTTAAATTCCTCAAACTGTGGTAAATTCTTTTTTTTCTTTTCATGATTATTATTATTTTTTTAATTGTGAAAATACTGTACAGAGGGGTTACAATTACATGGGCAAGATAGTGAGTACATTTCTTATCAAGCATTGTAGCCTCCTCCTTTGTTTACCCTTCCCATCCCTTCCCATCCGCCCTCCCCCCCCACCC